CCTTCCCCCCACACACACACCTCCTCCCCCCTCGAGGGGCCGGCCGGGCGGGCTCGCCGTCCCCTGCCCGCCACCGCACTGCGGTCGGTCCCTGCCGGGGAGGCCGCGCTCCCTGCGCCGCCGGCCGGCGGAAAGTTGCTCCTCCGCCCGGCAAGTTGAGTTTTCCGATTGCCCGGAGGGAAGTGTGCGTGTGTTGGGGGGTTGTCCCTTAACCCTTACGAGCCGTGGGGAGATGGGGGAGTGCGAGGTGCCGTGGTTTGTGCGGCAGACTCGGTTCCCCCGGACCGCGTTTTCTCCCGTGTCACTGCGCTTGGGTAAGGGAAGAACGTGCCTGGGGGGCGATACGGCTTTTCCTCACGGCACTGATTATTTCGTGAGGTTTAATGAAGCAGCACGAGAAGCTGTGTTTGGGAGGAAAGCTCTCCTGCGGTGGGGAGCAGGTGATGTTCGGGGGGAGCAAAGGAGCAAGCCGTCCTTGCTTTGGAGGCAGCAGTGCTGTTTTAATTTCAGTTTCGTATTGAAAACCGCTGATGTTAGTAGGTGAAATCGACGATATTGGTTACTATTTCAGTTAGGTGTCACGTTACTTTTTTAATTGGTAAGAATTCGTGTTCTAGTGAAGCAGGCTATTAAAGATGAACTGTTGCATGTGCCTGGAAAGGCGAGGTGTGCAGGCTCTTCGACAGGGCGCTTGCACACTTGTTCGCTGGTCGGCACTAAACAGCCCGATTTGCTGCTGACCGCTTAATGACATTAAGTGACAGCTGTCAGCTCAAGATAGAAACGGGTCGTTTGCCGAGTAACGAAATAGGTACAGGAGAGCAGCCCATCAAGATTACAGAAGGAATTTCTCAGAAGTGACTCAGTTAACAGAATTCTGCTCTGTGTGCTTTTATGACCTGATCTTTAAAGATTAAAACAAAAAAAAAAAAGGTGAAGTTTTGAGTCAGTGTGTTTGGCAGCTTCCGCAGTTGGTTAGGTCCCTTTTGCACAGCCAAAATACATCATGTCATGGGAAGAGAGTGACTCAATTTGAAATATAATCTTATTCTTAAAAAACAGAGTATTTCTCCTGGTTGTAGTTGTCAGCAGATTTGTCTAGTGGTATAGTAGTTTATTTCATTTTAGGAATGATTCTTTGTTGACAGATACAAGGTTTTAGAAATAAAAAGAGGAAGCCAGACTAATGAACTCAAAATGAAGGGAACGTATGAAGTGGGCTGCATAAAGTAATTTTGAATGTAGAGTGCCTGTGTTATATGAAGACATTTTTGCCTTACACATAACAAATAATTTTGATCATTTGTGGTCCTTTGTTGTTTATATGCTAGCTTTAGTGAGATAATATCTGTTAAAAGGTGTTTCTATGGCAGGATAAGCTATAGGAAAGAGATTTTTGCTTTTAGTTTACTTGTTTTAATTGAGGTAATTAGCCAATTTATATTTGATCTAAATTTTGAAACACTTGCTTTAGTAATCTCATGTACTATTTAAACCAGAAAGTTTACAAGAGGGGAACAGAATGGTGTTTTTCTTGCTAGTGACCTGGTAGTAAGTCCTGTAGCAAATGCAATTACCTGTTTTTTTTTTTCTGACATGTGATTGCAGCCATAAAAAAGAAATATATTATCTGCAGAGGTTCAGGTTCAGCTGGAGCTCTTGAGTCCTTCATTTTCTTTGCCTTTAGTCTTTGTAATGTAAATTATCTCTAGCTCAAGAGTACAATATCAATCCTGGAGTTTAAGATTAGAAATTCCTTAATGTTATGAGGCAGTCATTCATGCCAGTCATGAGGGATGTACTCTCTAATACTGGCGTATAAGTAGCTGTTGTTGAGTGCTGTTTCTACAGTACCTGTTTTGATTGCTTTTTCACCACTTCTGATTCTTAGGTAAGACATCTGTATATTTGTGATTTTCACAAGAACTTCATTCAAAGTGTCCGAAACAAAAGAAAGAGGAAGACCAGTGATGACGGAGGTGACTCTCCTGAGCACGAAACGGATGTCCCGGAGGTTAGTAAGTGCCAAGTGGGTATAGGATGCTTTACCAATTTTGAGCATGTTGAATTTTGCCTTGGATGTTTCCATGTATCAGGAAGTATTTAAATTTTAAATTGCAGCTCCTCTGAAACTGCTATGGAGTTACTCTCATTTTTTGGAAGACTTTTTTCTGATGTGTAATGTCCTAATTTTCTTCTTCGTTCCTGCATGAGTTCTTTGCCCATGTGAAGTTTTCTATTAAAAAAGGTATGATAAGGTAACTCCACAGCTTCATGTATATACTGCTCCCAGCGAGCTGTTAAAACAGTATTCGATACTAATTCTTTTTTAAATGTGAAAATAAGTTATTTTCAGTGGTGACTGAGGCCCCAATATGGTTCTTTGTTACCTAGCACGGATCATTTTGCAAATACACTAGAAAATCAGATAGATCAGTCTCTCTATGTTTGAGTGTATGATATCCAGGGATATTAAGCTTCTCCAGACCTTTGCATATATGGTTATCTTTCGCACTATTTAAAACTACCTTCAAATAATTTGTAACATCTTTTTATTTTCAGGAAATAGGCCTGTTTTGTTTGGGGTATTTTTTTCTGTGTTACAGAACTCTAGAATAATCTCTGTGTCATTGTGTTCTGTATTTGCTTTGGTGATGTTTCTGGTACTGTTGACGCTGCAAAAAGTTGTGCAGAGGTGATGTTCATGGAGGAGCAGAGCTCTGGCCACATCAGCAGAGCCCTCTGCTGGAAATGCCACCTGTATTGGCAAAAAACATTTTATTTCTGAAAAAAAAATAAAAAAATCCTCCAAGAATCATTTTGTCAGCAAAGCTGTGCCCACACACCTCTTGTGTGGATGTGTTGAAAAAGTAGCAAGGTTTTGGTTTGTTGGTTTTTTTTTTTTTTTAAGGATACCTGACCTTTTGTTGTAGCTGTTAGTGTTGCCGTTCTACAAGGTTCTCCATCAAAACTTTCCCATACAAGCTTTACGTTAGTTGCCAGGATGATTGGTGAGGATCCAGCTGGCATCTAACAGTGTTAGTGCTGTAGAGCACGCAGGGTATTTGGTGGTTAAAACTGAGGGATGCAGGTCACTTAACTGAATAGGGAACTCTGCAGTGTGTCAGTTTTAATGTCATTTTCTTCTTGGTTTTCAGCAGAGATTCCTTTTTTCTTTGAAACATGGCATTTTCCACATGATGTTCGTCATCTTTCCTGTAGCCTCCCCCACTACCACCGTTGGTTTTAAACTGTGCACTTCCCGTTGAAGTATTTGAATTTCATTTCTTCTCTGTCTCTGTACTCTGTTTTATGTCACAAGCCATTTGTTCAGTGCCTGCTAAATTGATATTTCATGTGTGAGCTTTTTTAAACCTTGTGGGAACAAAAGGTTCCCCTTTGCTTGGAGGTTGCAGAGGTGTAATTGAGAGCAGAAATTGGCCAGCAGTTCTGTTGACAGCATGTGAACCAGAACAAAATTTTGTATTTCCCTGAGGCTGTTTTGGTCCTTTAGCATTAACAAATACAAAATATACTTAAATTTGTCAGTAAGGCAAGCCGATGTGGTTCTGAATGCAGGCAAGGAACAGTCCTGTTGAGGAAGAAATAGTTGTCTAAAATAACTCTACATTTCTGCCTTATAGAAGCTAAAGGTAGTGCTCATCCCCTCTTCTTCTGAATCACTTCCAGGTTGACTTGTTCCAGCTCCAAGTGAACACTCTGCGACGTTACAAGAGACATTATAAGTTACAGACTAGGCCTGGACTCAACAAGGCTCAGCTAGCAGAAGTAAGTGACGACAGAGGTAGTATTATCTCTGTTATTAAAAAACTTTTTATCTCCTCTGCTGAAGTGCACGTTTCTTGGACATTAATACCTGTAAGTGGCTCTTGCTTGTATGTACTGTGTGCTCTGCGAAAGGTCTCAGGGGATGATGCCAATAGAAAGCTGCGTGCTTTCTTTCACCTGAGACAGTCATGGAAGCCCCCTCTTGAAGGCATGTTTTAGTAACTTGCTTTTTTCTGCTTCCTTTCCCTCCTTGTTCATAGTCACAGTCCATTACCTTTAGGAAGCAGAAACAGAACCTAGTTTCCAGTGGTGTAGGTGTTAACTGAAGATTGCTGTTTTACTGAAACTCAGACTTACACCCTACTAGTCACCTTAAGTGTCCCTGGTAGTTTTTCTTTCCTCACAGGCGCTTGAACTGGTTGGAATTGCTTCTTATTAAAGGCAAAGTCACTGACCATGACTTCAGATTCCTTATTTCCCTCCCTTGTCCTGATGTCTTATGACTCTGTATTAAGTCAATAAAAGGCCCTTTCCTTAAGGGCCTCTACTGCTGCTTTCTCACCATATGGGGTACTTGTTAAGAAAGAGCTCTCTGTAACTCTGTTATTTGGGCTACTTGTGCTTGGTGTGCATCTGCTCTGCTCTCTTTCCTGACTTGATCTTAAGGCATTCTGTGGGAAAAGTCTTCTCTAAACCTGAAAAAACTGTAGCAGTTACTGAATGGTAACAAGGTTGTTTTTGTAAGCTGAGGGTTTCACAACTGTCTGCCCAAAACTGTCTGTTTTGCTTTAAAGAACAACAACTGGCAAACCAAAAAAGACAGCAAGACGCTGTCTTGCTCTATTTCAAAGTCAACTAGGGAATGAATATAGAGAATATAGAGAATGTGTGGTGTAGAACACGTAGGAGTAAGGTGAACAAAGCAGGGTGGATGTATGTCCTCATTAGAAGTTCTGAATTGTCATGTTTTAACTAACGAGTTCATAGTCTCTCAGCTACCTCCTGCCATGAAAGACTACTTACTTAGGCAATTTACCATAAGTGTGCCAAAGAGGGGGAAAAAAAAAAAAAGAAAAAACTACTATGCAAGCGGAAAATAAAGGGAGCCTAACTTAAAGTTGTCACACACTTCCCAGATTTCCTGTGAAGTCTGAGCAGCTTTGACCCTACGCTGGATCCTCGTCCAGCTCCCATGCTTGAATCACTGCTGCCTGAGGCTCTTAGACTCCTGCTGCTACCCCACCGTAAGGAAAACTAAAACTTCCATAAATCTTCTTGGAGTGACTTATTGCTCAGCCTGCATCACCATCCAGTTCTGGAGCTTTGTTGGGTACCAAAAAAGAGCTTCTTCCATATGAGAAGCAGATCTCATCCAGCTCCAACATGTATTCTACGTTCATTTTCTGAGGGAAAGGCAGCTAATGGTTCAGGATTTATGCTAGTGTCAGAGAGGGGGTAGCCCTAACTAAAACCTAACCCTCCCATTGCAAATCCCTTAGTGTTCCTTTCAGTCAAAACTTACCCATTGCGTCTTCCTTTGGACTCTAAAACTTTGCTACATCTGGTTCACCCAGCAAAGTGTTTCAATATTTCTGACGCGCTCCTTTAAAATACTGAGATGCAGAGAAAACTTGCTCTCCAAATCATCTCGGCATGAAATGCCACTTAGGAGAGGCTGTGCTGCTTTGGCAGGAGGACATTCTGGCTTCCAAATTCCGCTTGTAGGTTGGCTGCAAATACTGCTGACGTAGCAAGACTATGCTATGTTCATATGCACATTCCAGTTGTAAAAAGAGAGAGAGGTAAATGAGGACTGACAGTTTGAATTGGTGCATGTTTGACTAAAAGTATATTGCGCTCAGTGGCCATAAAATCATTTTTGGAAAGTGAAGAGAAACCCTGTTCTGATTATTTCTACTTTGTAATTTCAGAATTTCTGTCTCTTTACGTGTTGTCCTTCTAGACTGTCAGTCGTCACTTCAGGAATATTCCTGTGAATGAGAAAGAGACGCTCGCATATTTCATCTATATGGTGAAGAACAACAAGAGCAGGCTGGACCAGAAATCCGAAAGTAGCAAGCAACTAGAATGAAGATTAACAAGATTTGGAATAAGAGAGACCTTGAAGGAACAGATGGTATTGTGCATTTTAGGTATATAAAAACTGTTGAAGTATATTGTAAATTTTTTTTTAAATGCAGTAAGTCTGGACGACAGAAAAAAATATAGACATTCTTATCAGGAGTATTTGAAAACATGTGCCCAGCATGTTTCTGAAGACTTCTTCCCCTCATTTCAAAGTCACATTGGAATAAAGAAATGAGGATAATGAGGAAACCAAGTAAACCTGTAGGACTGTGGAGTTTGTCAACTCAGTGTTTTAAACCATTTCTGGAAATCTGCATCTCAGTGCAATTCACGTCACAGATGAAATGTTTTCACTGAATTCAGACTGCATCACAAGCCACCATGCAGTTTGTCTTGGTGCAGGACTGGAATAGCGGCAGAGATAAAATTCGTTCTCGAGGTGCGTGGGTCAGAAGTTTGTCTGAAGCTTGCTCCCCACCTACACATGCTCTGTCTTGCCTTGAGTCAGTGCTTCAAGTCCCAAACTTCTACAAATGCTCCAGCTCACCAAATCTACTCCAGTGAACACTACTTGACTAGTCTGAAATTGATTTTTAATTTTTTTTTACACCATTTTTCCTCTTGCCCCCTTCTGACATGGATGTCAACTGTCTGCAATCTCTTCTTCTCATTTCTTTTATTTAAGAACTCACTAATTAATTGTCTGTAAGCATTTTAAAACTTCTGCATTTCCTCAGAATGTGGTATTAAGACAAATAGAGCTTATTTTCTGGGTTTGATCATATTGGTAGAAATGCGCATTTAATTCACTTACGCGTATTTCCCTTGTATTCAGGGCTCAGTGATGGTAGGTGAAACAATGGCTTAAGGCATCTGTCTCTTAATCTCTGTGTTGGATCAGGTGTCAATCACAAGTGGTGTGAATTTTATACTGAAGCTAGTCTTCAGCCGGTGTCACAAACCTGCTGTGTGGATTAGTGGGCTCAGCAGCCTCTGTTTAGTATAAAGCAGACTTAGGCTAATGGGTGTAACACTGCAGCCGGGGTAGTGAACTGACGGGAGCATGATGCATTTCGTCTGTCTTTGCAACGGGCAAAAAGTTTCGAAGCAGTTGCCTTTTGTGAGCATTGCGTGTGCTTTCATAGGAGCTGTGTGAGTGGATGGCATGCTGGTGCTCTTTAACTGGGCGCTGTAGGAGGAGATCGCTCTGATTTTGTTATTTAAAGCCAAGGTGTCCTTACAAATAACACAGTGGTTATTTTGGCAAAAGGAGCTTATAAAAGTGTTGGTTGTGACTGACTGTTCTCTAGTGACCTCAAATTCTATTCAAGGGGATCTCACGATTTAAAGCACCACTCTGTTTCTTTGCTGTCCTAACCAGTGTCTCCATTCTGTTACAAGATGCCAAGACTCCACATAGAGAGTATATTCTCAACAAGCCTTAATCAACAAACTGAACAGTAGAAAACTTTGGCTAGCATTTTGTCAATGGCAGGTTTTAATGTTCCAAAACTGGATGAAGCTTTGTTGAAGAGCTAAACACGCAGAGCCCGTTCCCAGCTTAGTACTGCATCGTGTTTCGTAAGGCATGAAGGGTTCACATAGTGAAGCTCTTGTCGAAGCTCTCCCAAGATCTCTTTAAAAATCAAGTCAAAATTTAAAGCAAGCTGTTCACATCAGCTCTGAAGTGTTTGCTAATACTCCAAAAATATGTTCAACAAACTTCAGCGCGTCTAAGTCCGGTGTCATAGGCAGAAATACTCTGTTATGGTACACGTCCCACTTGTGAAGTTTTGGGGAGTGTGATTGTTTCAGCATTTCCTTGTTCAATTCAGTGTGGATTTTAAGAACATCAGCCAGGAGAGAGGTTCAAGGAATGAGGAGGGAATGTCTGGCGTCGGTATTTCATGAATGTTTAAAAATTTCCTAATTACACTGGTCCTTTCTTTATTGAAAGAATGTGAAAGAATGGAGTAATTCCCACATCAGTCCACACGATCTGGCTTCTCTCATCCAGGAAAGATAGCTAAAAGGGTACATTCTCTGACTGCATGTTAATCTTCAAAGTGCTCGTGTAATCAGAGGATATTACCAAGGGAAAATGAGTTTCTGAGTTGAGAGGCTTATGCCTCATTGTAACTTCTAGACCAAAACTGTAAAAGTGTAGTTTGTTTGGGGTTTACTTTTTTGTTGTTGTATTTTGTTTTGTTTTATTTCTAAGAGTAAATAAATCTGTTGGGGTGTTTTAGCAGCCAGCAGCAAAATGATTCTTTTCAAGGAAATATGGTGGCAGGTTCCATCTGTTCAGGTGTATTCACTGGAATGCTTTTGTGCAGAGGTGGTATCCAGGAAACTTTTTTTTTTTTCTAAAAATAATCAATTGATGTGAAATGTGATCCTTGTTGGTTTCACTCTTAAAGCAATTATACTTTTTTGAAAAAATTCTTAGTGAAGTGTGATGATGAAGAGATGTTTACCAGCCATTAGCAGTTGTTTATAAGGTGGAAAGCTTGGAGGCAAGACACCAAAGAAACAGAGGAATCTTTGGCTGTCAGACCCCACAGCCTTATAAACCCTTGCAAATGCCTTATTACCTTGTTCTCAACTTAGCTAGAGCAAAACGCCTTGAGCAAAAGAAAGCCGATGTCTTGTTGGAAGGGTCAGCCACTTTATGGCTCCCATGCTATGAACTGAAATCACACGTCAATTCAGTAGCAATATCCATGTTCAGGGTGCCTGTGATTCTTGAAAAGCATTTAGTGTCTAATAACCAGAAAACGCAACAATGCAATTGTCGTTCTGTATAATACCATTCTGTGTATTTGATTCCTTATGCTGCATGCCAATTAAAAATGACTTTCCAACTTTTTGTTTTAAACTTCAAAGTCAATGTGTTTGAACCTCACACTTGTGAAGCCATGAGGTGGGACATTTTCTCAGCACTTTTAGACGGGACTTGTTGGAAAGGTGGAAGACCCAAATCACTTTGGCTGGTATGATAAGATTATTTTTTTTCTTTTTACATTTTGCTTTTCACAGATGGGCCTTAAATTCTGTCTAGCTTTGAACCATGGAGCACAAGCCTTGGGGGCATGGAGGATGACCAGATGTCATCTTCCATTTGTAATAGTGGAAGCTTATTTCTTACAAGCCTGCATAGGTGACATTCACCCTGGGGCAGAGGAATCGTCTTTGAAGCCCTCTAGCCATTATATAACCTAATTCAATTACATAGCCTAATTCAATCCTCGTTGAAGAGTTGCATTAACTTCATTAGACTGCTGAATAGATCCAAAGCCATTGGTATGAAATCCAAATAATGTGGAAACATCTCTTCCGGGGTTAATTTCATCCTGTATGCTGACCCTCTGCTCACTTTAAGGGAAGAAGAAGAAATCGTTGCTGGTAGTTATTGGCTTGAGCTCAACTGAAGGGAGTTGGAAGCATGCGAAGACTTGGGTCGGTGGCAATCTGATGGCTGAAAAGTGCAAATAAATCCAAGGAAGCTGTGTGAGAATGCAGGGGGGGTTTAAATTTCTGCATTTCAAAGAATATTGTATATCAACCCGAAGTAAACAATCGCATTAAAAGCTAATGTTTCTTTTGCCAGGCACTTTAGATGCTCAGCCTGAGAAAAGCAGAGTGGGCAGGTTTGTACCACTTGTCCCCAGTATTCTGGTGTCCCGGTTTTCCTTAGAAATGTGTCTGTAAACCACTAGATAGCCTGGAGTGCAAGACTTGACTGAAACATACCAAGTCTGGCATTTAAAGTTAGTCTTGAGTGCAAGCTGGCTTCAGAGAGGCTTTGAAATCAGGAGCCAAAAAAATCCACAGTAAATGCAAGGTTTCAAGCGGGTCATGATGGCACAGAGAAGATGAAACGGGACGTGGCCCACAGAGAGACTGAACAAAACACGTTTCCACAGTTAGCACTGTGGAGGAAGATTTGTTCTGTGTTAGCTCTTGTAATGGATGTTTTATGAGAGGGGAAGAAGGGGGGAGCTGTGCACTTTACGTCTTTTGGTTGAGCCAAATGTAAATACCAATGGGAGATCTTCAGCGGTAACTGCAGTTGGAGGGGAGAGAAATGGTCTGCTGGGGGACTGTTTATTTAAATCCACAGATCGTTATACTTCCCCAGAGCACTAGAGTCACTTTGCCGCTACATTTTAAAAAAGTGGGTAATACAAGGTAGACTCCTGTAGAAAAGGAGTCCCTGTACTGCCCGGAGTATTGACTGAAGAGTCCCAAAGGTGAAGGAATGTTATTGATGCCTCACTCCTTGTCACTGATGCCCTTTAGCCATCTCTAGCTTATCAAGTTAGGGAGTTTTCATTTTCCACTTCCAAAGTGCAAATGAACTGTTACGATGTAAGATACTCCTTGCACTTTTCACAGCTATCCCTGGTCTCACGTTTTTGACTTGCCTGTGAACACATCTGTTTGGAATGAATTAAATGGTTGAAGAAAGCGTGGGGAGAGGAGGGGGGCTCCTGCCTTAAACCTGAACTTCCCTTGCAAGCAACTCTGCAGGCTGTCCTGTACATCAGCAGGCTCCGGGAGCCTCTTCGTCAGCTGAATCATGTACGGGTTGGGTTTGCTCCTGTCCTCGCCCTCTGCTCTGCAGCGGGAGCGCAGGGGAGGGGAATAGCAGGTAGCTTGCAGAATGGCTTGGAGTCTTAGTGGGCTTATTGGGAGAGAAAAACTGTGTTCCCTCTTCTGTTTCTGGCCTCCATGTATTGTGCTGATCTTATGCCAAATGTTTTGGACACCTTGTATTTTTAACTGTGTAATATAGCTGTGTATTGTTAAAGCAACGTAGTAACTTATAGCAAAAACTGTAGAACTCATTTCTCTGAGGTGTAGGAAATGTCCTGCTTCCACTGTGTATGAGACTTTAACTCTGTACTGTCTGACAAAGATAAAATGCTGAATTTCACTTTAATAAATGATCTATCTAGCAACAAGGCCTACATTCCCTTCTCTTTGCCTCTCTGCCCTCAGCACTGTCGGCTCCAGAGCCATTGGAGTTTTGCTTTGCAGGGGTGCTTCTCCCATTCAATCATTTCCCACCCACCGAAGATGTTGCAGACGTGTAGGGGAGAATGGCACTGCTGCCTAGGATATGTCAAGCCTGAAGGAGAAAACTCAGGTGGTGAAATATTTTGTGACAAATCTGTGTGGGTTGCGTGGAAGCAAATCACGGAGTCTTTTGAATGCAACAAAAAGACAACTCACAGGAAAGATGGAGGTTGTTGGAGAGCCACCTGACCTTCCCTTTTGGGGAGTGTTGAGCTTTTCTGTGATGGGGATTCCCCCTTCCCCCCATCATGTACAGTCGATCAAGTGCAGCATCTCGTTTGATTCATGTTTCCTAATGAATCTTTATGTTTAGTTCAACCCTGTGCTTCTGCTTCCTTCTCAAGCGCACCCTGGCTA